TGATTAAAGTAGAAATGATTTTTTTTTTTGTATTTTTTCTTTTGTATGCTTTCAATTTTTATATTTAATGTAATTGCAAAAATTATTGACAATTTTCAAATAATTCACTAAAAAACCTTTTTTTATTTGTTGCTATAAATTTTATTTATTATTTTAAATGGAAAGACAAAATAATTGATAATGGATTATTGAGCTATGGTGAATTTTAATATATATATTCATTATGAAAATTTTTTCCCTCCCTTGCTGTTTGATCAAATATTTACTGGTGAAATATTCAGTAGCAGTGTTATTATTATGTAAATTTACCCTTTAGTTTTTGTAGTTTTAGTTTATTTGTTACAGTATTACTCTACGAATAATGTTGTTACAGTATTATTCTACAAATCATGTTGCAATATTATAATATTACCATTAGAAACTTTCTTGGAATGATTCTTTGATTAGAAAGATATATTCAATTTTACTTAAAAAAGGGGAGGAGATTAGAGAATGAAATTTGCCAATAAATGTAATAGCAAGAATATTAAAAATTATTAAGAAAAATAAAATAAATAATGACTTATATGTAAATATTCTAAAATATAATTGTTCTTTTTTGTCAATCTAATTAATTGTTCAATTAAAGTACTTCAATTCAAAACTATCATTTTAAAATGGTAAACACTTAACATTTCAGGCATTTTAAAGTATTTTTATATTTATCTCAATTATTTCATAATCTTTATTAATCAGAAAAAAGAAAGACGGGTAATATTTATTTTAGATTAGTTAAAATAATAAGCAATATAAAGCTGTTAAATTTTTAAAAAAATGCAAAAAAAGGAAATTCTTTCTAAAATATTTTTTTAATAATAAAATCTTTTTTCTTGCAAATAAACTTCAACTTTTTCTTTTTTTAAATTTCTGTTCACTTTTTTCAACTCATTTTTGTTTTTTGATTATTTAATGAAAGTCAAAAAATGGTGTATTCATCAATGTCTGCTCTTAGTTTTATTTATCCCAATAACACCAAATGGCAATAGCATAACTTCCTTTTCTCGCTGCTTCCGTTAAAACAAATTATTCAATCTTTTTGCTAATTCCTAAATTCTCATCATGCTTTAGTTTGTGTTTATTGAACATTATTATTCTACATGCAAAAAGCTATCTCAATTCAGCAGCATCTTCATCATCATCGATGAATTCTTAAATGCGAGCAAAACAAATCAGCGAGTTAGACAAAAAACAAGAAACAAACAAATAAATAAGTAAATGAAATAAACAAACAAATAAACAAACAAGCAAGCAATACAGTCATATATTAATAAATTTTAATCACATTAATCAATGTGGTAATATAATTGTTGCATTAGCAAATGATGAGTACGTGTTTATTCATGTTTTATTAGATTTAAATTTTATTTTACTAATTTTTTCTCCCATTTTTCTTTTTTCTAGGAAGTGAAGAAGCACGAAAACGAATTATTAAGCTAGTCGATACAGTGTGAAATATTATTTTTCCTTTAAGAAAACGAAACAACAACAAGAAACGAATCAGTTGATGTCCTCGGGGGAAACACTACATCAAGCATTAAACAGATCACCATCGTTTGTTACACATCATCAACTTTCCACCTTTCCACTATTTACCCAAATAACTCAACAACAACAACAACAACAACAACAACAACAACAACANNNNCAACAACAACAACATCAACAACAACAACATCAACAACAACAACAACATTATCTTTATCATCATCATCACTATCATCCATTTCAACAGCAATATCATCAATCATCATTGACCATTACCGCCATCAATAACTACAACAATAGCATCAACAACCATAACAATAATAATAACAGCAATACATCACCGCAACAACGTATCAAACTAAAACGACAACGACAACGTGTTGACGCCGGTGAACCACGTAATCCTTACCAGGTACAATACCTCAAAGATTATTTTTATACTTGAAAGAAGGAAACAAAAAAAGAAAAAGCGTGGATAAGGTTAATGTAAAGTTTTTAATTAACACAAAATATAATTTTAATTCATCGAAAAGCTAATCAATATTGCATTCCTGTTGAAAATTTTATATAATTAAAAATTTATGGTAAAAAATTTTTTGTAACAATTTTAGTATAAATAATAGAATAATATTTTATGTTATTAGAAAGAAAAACAAATATTATTTAGCAAATTTTGTAGGCAACACGCACACCGATGCTTCAACAACAACAACAGCAACAACAACAACAACAACAGCAACAACAACAACAACAACAGCAGCAGCAACGATATGCGAATGATTTTCAATTAAGCAGTGTTATTAAGAATAATAATAACAGTACTGCATATACAGCAACAACTCAAAATAATAATATTACTGCTACCTTAAGTAGTATATTTCCCTGGATAACAACTACGATAACATCAATGACAACTGCAACAACAACTACTACCACTACCACAACAACAACTTCTACTACTGCAATGCAACAAAAATTTGAATCGTCATTTAATATCATGGAACAAATTAGTGATACGAATAATTCCATTCAAGATCTTAGTCGACAACGAAGTATTAACAGTGATGAACATCAGGTAGCATTCAAAATTGTTATTGTTTTTTTCTTGCTCGAGCATCACTTTTTTATTTCAACTAAAACCTTACTAATTTTTTGCTTACATTAACTCGCACCACCTATTTATTTTTACCTGTTTTGTTTTCTTACAATACTCAATTTTTATTAATTAATCCATGTTTTATCCAATTACAATTATTCCTTTGTTTTTTTTCTTTAATTTTTATGTAAATATAATATTTTAAAATCAACAAACATATTCTTATCATACTGTAGGTAAAGATTTAACAATAGTAGGAAATTATAATACGCATTTCAGATTAAAATCAAAATGTTTTTCTTTTTTTGCAATATTTTTGTAAACAACTTCTTCCATGCGGCATTTTTTTCTGTATGTGTGTTACGTTTCTCATTAATGATTGGTTAATGGGAAGAGAAAGGTGGAGTTTTATTCTCATTGTTCATATTTTAATTTCAAATTCTTCTGTATTTTCTTCTTCTTTCCTTTTATTTTATTTTTATTCAAAAAAATTAAACTCTTACTTCATAAATTTTTCACAATATTAATTTTTCTGATGTACAAAAAATTTTCTTAATTTTTTGCATTTAAAAAATTTTTTCAAGTATTATTATTTGTTTACATGTTTATACATTTATTAAAAAAATAATCTTTTCCATTCAAAATTTCTTAAAACGTTATCTTTTTCCCTTTTGCTTTCCCTTACAAAATATTTGGAAATGATACGCTAAATCTTGACTGTTTTTTTACTAATTATTTTTTTACTACTCCCGTTAATCAATAACGATATTTTAAAAATTCACCGAAATTTGAATACTGATTTTATCATTTTATTATTCATTTATTAATATTTTGATATTTCAGGAATTTATAGCATCAGCTAGCATATCATCATCGATAACACATATGAGTGCTGATGTTAAGGCTGGCGATTGCAAGGATGAAATATTAACAACTATAATTAATCCGACTAATGATGATGATGAAATAGCTACAATGACCATTGATGACCAATCATATGACCAGAATGCCGATGACGACAAAGCTGATGATGACGACACAGCATTATATTTAAAAGTTCGTTTTAATTTTAAGTCATTTAATAATTAATTTTTCTTACTAATTTTATTAATTGGTTTGATAAAAAAATTGAATCAAAATTATAAAAATATATTTAATAATAAATGAAAAAGGAAAATAGCAATAATTAACGGTAATAATAATACAAATTAATTACTACTAATTGATTTGTAACAGGAAGAACATAGCACGAGTGAGACAAGTCCTACGCCAAGTGCATCATTTACCGGTGGTGTTAATAGTGGTAGCAGCTCATCAAGGCGGAAAAGTGCTGCACCGCAACGACAACCAATTGATATCGATGATGAATGTAATCCTCAAATTGGTACTGCTTTTTTGTTAAACTTTTAAAATTTTCTAACTAGTTTAAAATGATGAAAATTTTTAGAATTTTATATTGACATTTATAAATAATGTTTTTTAGAACAAAACGAAGATATGTTGGAAGATGACAAGATTGCAAATAAAACAGATATCGAGAAATCTGCCGAAATAAAAATGGCTAATGAAACACCAAAAAATGTTTTAGCTGCAAGCTTAGCTGCCAATATTAACCCACAAGTACATAATTCATAAGGAATTAATTGAGAAAAAATTAAACATGAAAACGAATTGATCAAATTAATTTCTATTGATTATCTTGTAACTTTTTTTTCTAAAAAAACAATTTCAATAACTTTTGTTTCTTTTTTTGTCACATATTAAAAATTACTATTTTGTTTGTTTGCTCTTCCTTTTTCTTCTTCTTCTTCATTGTTTTTGTTTGTAGAACAGGATACAAGAAATGATTGATATACAAAAACGAATTTATTCAAATTGGATTGAACAACAAAAGAAATTATTGAGCGCAAATGATGAAGAGCAAAAACGAGCACAAATTCAACTTATACAACAGCAAATTCAACGAGATTATGCTAAATTAGCACAATCATTAAAGCAAGAACTTATCAATGGGTTAAATAGTAGCGTTGATAAGGTATGATATCATCATCATAATTTATCAAGCAATACTTAAAAGTTGCTGTTTTAGTAGAAAAGCATGGTTAAAAGTATTGGTTTTTATAGGGTCAATTGGATATTTGAAATCGAAGTTCTAGGAAATCCAAACAATTATTTACATTTTCTTTGCATGAGGTCTAGGAATAAGTGTAGTATTATGATAATTAATATATGATAATGATTACTGAACATTTTTAATTTTATTTGTCATTTGATTTCCCTTTTCACATACGTCATCCACGACCCATACTTGTATTGTAACAATAAGATTCATAAATGATGTAATTTTAAATGACTAATTTCAGATCATAGCTGAATTCATTGCTGCGGAAGCAGCTATTAGTGCGCAACGTACGACTGCCGCACTTGTGGAACAGCAACGTGAGCAAGCAGCAGCCATTGTTATTAATCGAAATCCATTTCTTTTTCATCCTCTCTATCATTCTCAATCTGCTCCGTTTCCAAATCCCTTTATACAAAATAGCCTACCATTACCGCCACCGTCACACCATCCACCCGGTATTTTTCCAGCTGCTTCCGCACCTCGTACAACCTTCAATCCATTTGTACCACACTTAAAAGCAGCATCACCAGCTACCGCAGCGTTTCGCAAAATGGATGACCTAAAGTAACGAATGCATGTTTTCGTTAAAATTTCACGTTTTTGTTTTCAGGAATTTTAGTAATTTTGCTTCCAATTCAATTTATTTTGTAGGAACATTGAAGATAAAAACATAATTTTTGTTAAAATTCTCCAAATATTTTGTAGTTCATTTGCACCGCGAAAGAAACGATCCAAAGTAACGGATTCGTCACGAATAAATAAAATTCAACCAATAGCTTCTGCTAATCGTGAAGTATCCTCACTTCCCAATAGTGCCCGATCCTCACCACAGGTAATATTTTTGTCTCAATTATTTAAAAATTTAATATTTGGAAATGAAAAATGGAAAATCGTTTTAGATCACAATAGTTAATTGTTTACAAAAATTATTACAAAAAATGATTTATTAATTTAATTTAAGATATATAAATATTCTAAATCAATTTTTAGTTATCATCATATTTTCCACCAACAATGGTTGGTCATCCCTTATACAGTAGTGGTACATTTGGTGCTGATGAACGGGACAGTCCGATCAATTCGGATGATGCAAGCGATTGTGGGCCTTATGATGGAAGTATCGGTGGAAAGTCTGTATAATGACAACATTTATTACAATTAAGCAATAAAACTTCCATTCTTTTGCATTGAAAACGTTGATTCTTTCTTGCAAAATTCGCTTTTTTCATTAAATTAAGTAAAATTTAATTTTATAAAAGAGCGAAAAAAAGGCAAAAATTTTCAGTTCAACTTTAACACCAATGCATTTGCGTAAGGCAAAATTGATGTTTTTTTATACGCGTTATCCGAATTCGGCTTTATTGAAGTCTTATTTTCCGGATATTCGTTTTAACAAAAATAACACTGCACAATTGGTGAAATGGTTCTCGAATTTCCGGTTCGTTGCAAATGTTATTCATCATTAAATTAAATTAAATGCAAATTTTAATAATAAATTTATATTTTAGTTCATTAATTCTTCTTTTTTTCTTCGTCCTCTTTACCATCCCTTTTTTCTTTCATTTTAATCTTTCATTTCTTTGAAATATTAAATTTTTTAGAAAAATGGAAAACAACGATGAATAATTTTTTTAATTTAACTATTTGCCATCCATTTATTTTATCAATCCTATAATATTTTATTTCTTCTGTTACCATCAAATTTCTCATCATTTGCTAATTTATAGATATTTTGGCAAAAAATGATGCTAACTTAATATATTCATAGATGTTAAATGTATTTTATTTTAATTTTAAAAACTAACAAATTGAAAGATTAAATTTGGCAAAGATGTGAGTCGATGGATCGATTTTTTATTGTGTGTGTAAACGAATTATTATATGTAATTGAAAATGAATTAAGTGTAAATAAATTATGATTATATCAAAAATGACTACATTTTTTCCTTTTCCTTAGTGCTATTTTCATTTTTTTTCCATAATTTTCTATTTTATCATTTTATCATTTTCTTTTTTTTA